AAATAATGATTTGTATTATTCAAGTGTACAAATAATGATACACACTATGACTATTTATATACAATCCTAATTGGGCTTGGGCTAACACAACTTAGATTATATTAAATATTAAATCTAATCAAATCTAATTTGATATTTCAACATGGTATCATGAGCCTTTGGTTCGAGAAAGGGACCGAAAGAGACTTGTATCGAAATGCACCCAGGAAGTGGTGTTCCGTTGTAAGATGTCAATGGCGATACAAGTGAGGGAGAATTGTGACTCACACTTAAGGGGGAGTATAAGAATAATATAGCAAGTGTGAGTAAGTGGAGAAATAGTCCCACATTGGATAGGAATATGGAGACTTAAGCATATATAAGTGAGAGAATCCACTCACCTATCACCTTAAGGTTTTAGGTGGATAAGTGGTGTGTCTCTCACAAAGGTGCTTATTCCTACACTATGTATCAATGCTCCTAGTATCTCCCCCAACAGTGGTATCAGAACCTTTGGTTCAAGAAAGGGACCGGGAGAACTCAGTCACCTATCACCTTAAGGTTTTAAGTGGATAAGTGGTGTGCATCTCACAAAAGTGCTTATTCCTACACTATGTATCGATGCTCCTAGTTGGTCAATGCCAACAAAATCATACAAAAAAGGAAATTTAGGATATGATTAGATTAGTGGTATAGGATGGAATGAAATAGAATGAAGATTTTATTATTTAGATTTGTAAATAAACGATAGAATGAAATAGAATAGGATAGAATATATTATATCCCATTCCATCCAATTCCCTATTTTTTGTTCTATCTAATTTGGGGTGTATGTGATAGAATGAGACATTTTAGAAAAAATAACCAAACAATAAAATGAAATCAATATTTCATTCCGTCCGCTCCATTCTGCTATGTCATATTCCATTTCGCTCCGCTCCGTTATGTTCCATCAATCCAAACACCCTTAATTTATTTGTTTGTATCATGTTGGTCTTTTAAGTTTTTTTGCTACAATTTAGTCTTTTAAATTATCAAATATATGCATCATTACCCTTTTTTTAATAGAGAAATTATGCTAATTGTGGATGCAATCATTTTGAGTAATATGAAAATGATGAAATTATTCTAAAGAATTAAGTTGTTACAAAAAAATTTAAAGGTTCAACCTTTAAAAAAATTAACTTAAAGAATCTCTAACGTAATTTTTCCGACAAAAATTTGAAACTAACTCAGGAGGACATGAATCAAAGAATTTAATCATTCGCTTCCAATTCTGTTATTACACACTGCACAAGTATTAACTTCTCAATAAACATGGTTTATTTGAATCTCCAGTCCAAATTAATTAGCTAGTCTTTTTATTCGCTGAATTAAGCTCCATCCTTTCCAAATTGGTGGTGTTGTTGAATTAAGAATCTGAACCATTTCAAGACAATCTAATTGAAGCTCGATTTTTCTGAAACTTTTGGAATCAGGCACATATCAGTTTCATTAATTTCGGCTATACAATCCGGATTGAACCACATACCTTTGAGAAACTTGCAATAATGTGAGATCAATGTGCAATAATTAGTCAATAATTAACCAACACTAATGTGAGATTAATGTGCAATGTGATAAATATGTCCAGTTAACTTACCATAACATCTTACAACAAAAACTAACAAAAGAACTATTTTGAATGACATTTTTTATTCCTAGAAGATATTTTCCAATTTAGAAAATTGAGGGACTATTTTGATCATACTATAATTTTAAGAAGATGGTTTTGTGATTCAGGCTTATCTTCCGTATGAAACATCAGAGCCACTGCGGAAACTGAGAGAAGAAGAACTTGCAGCCCTCCGTGGCAAAGGAGTTGGAAAACTCAATGAATGGGATAGAGTGTATGACTATGCATGTTACAATGACTTAGGAACTCCAGATGATGGTCCAGATTATGCACGTCCTGTCATAGGAGGATCACAGCAGTTTCCTTATCCGCGTCGAGGAAGAACTAGTCGTCCACATACCAAAACAGGTTAGAATTTAGACTAGTATAGTAAAGACCTCTGGAGCACACCTCTAAAAAATGACATGTCCGTGTCAGTGTTGGACACAGACACGACACTTGTGATTACGTCCAATTTATTTATTTATTCAAATTATAGGTAAAGACTCATTGTGGTCTGATTCATTGTGTCATTGTGGCAGATCCTAAAACTGAGTCAAGACTGCATCTTTTGAATCTAAATGTTTATGTACCAAGAGATGAACAGTTTGGCCATGTAAAGTTTTCGGACTTTCTAGCTTATGCACTCAAATCCGTTGCTCAGGTTTTGCTTCCAGAGCTTAAATCTCTGTGTGACAAAACTACTAATGAGTTTGACACTTTTGAAGACGTGTTTGATATTTATGAGGGAAGTTTTAAGCTCCCAAGTGGAGCTTTGCAGAGTAAGATTAGAGAACTTATTCCTTATGAGATTCTTAGGGAACTTGTTAGGAATGATGGTGAGAAATTCCTTAAATTCCCAGTGCCTGATGTGATCAAAGGTAGAACAATTTAATCTACATTCAATATGATGGAATCATTGATATTGTTTTTGCGACGTTAATATTGGATATATTTTGTAGCTAGTAAGACTGCATGGAGGACCGACGAGGAGTTTGCAAGAGAAATGCTTGCTGGAGTTAACCCTGTCATCATCCGCCGTCTCCAAGTAACAATTTTATAATTTTGAGTAAAATTAGAAAATGAAAAGAGAAAGAGTTTTTCAAAAATTGATGTATATTTGTGTGCTACATGAAGGAATTTCCTCCAGCAAGCAAGCTAGATCCTAGTGTCTATGGAGACCAAAATAGTTCCATCCAAGAAAAGCACATAGCAGATAGTTTAGACGGGTTCACAATAGATGAGGTACTAATATTGACTAAAATTCATTTATTCATTGACCAACTAGTTTTAGGAAATGAAGCAGGTCCCTCTCATTTTTTCGGAGGCATTGTGAAGGTTTATTACGGTTTAACTTTGGTCTAATAATAGGGGCTTTATTTTCTACAGTTTAAGCCTAACAAAATTTTTTAGGCCCATTTTAGCCACAGTTTAACCGTGGAAAATTTTGGCCCTTGTATGGTAACCTGCCTTGTACGTCCTCAAAGGCGGACCTAAAATGAAGGCAAATCCATGTTGAATGCTATAATCAATATCTATAACAGAAACTGAGCTTCTTTATGTTGCAGGCTATTCAAAGGAACAAACTGTATATACTAGATCATCATGATGCTTTAATGCCATACCTAACTAAAATAAACTCTACCAACACTAAGACTTATGCTACCAGAACAATTCTATTTCTACAAGATGATGGCACATTGAAGCCACTGGCTATTGAATTAAGCTTACCTCATCCACAAGGTGACCAACATGGAGCTGTGAGTAAAGTTTTCACTCCGTCACAAGAAGGAGTAGCAGCCACAATTTGGCAGTTGGCTAAAGCATATGCTGCAGTGAATGACTCAGGATATCATCAACTAGTTAGCCATTGGTTATATACTCATGCAGTGATTGAACCATTTATAATAGCTACAAACAGACAACTGAGTTTTCTTCATCCAATTCATAAGCTCTTGAAGCCACACTTTAAGGATACAATGCATATAAATGCCTTAGCTAGACATACACTTATCAATGCTGGAGGTGTACTAGAGAAAACAGTTTTCCCTGGTAAATACGCCTTGGAAATGTCGTCTGTTGTGTATAAAAATTGGGTTTTCACCGAGCAGGCGTTGCCTGTTAATCTACTCAAGAGGTAAGTTCAAAATCATAAACTTGTTATAGTGCTTCGAATAGGATTATAATCCAATTTATCGAAATAAAATTGTAAATATATGTCATTGAAATTTTCAGAGGGGTAGCAGTTCAAGATTCAAATAGCCCTCATGGACTCAAACTTCTGATAGAAGACTATCCTTTTGCTGTTGACGGATTAGAAATTTGGGATGCAATTGAAACTTGGGTGAGTGAGTATTGTAAATTCTACTACACATCTGATGACATGGTTGAGAAAGACTATGAACTCCGACGCTGGTGGAAAGAGGTTCGCAACGAGGGTCACGGTGACTTGAAAGATAAGTCATGGTGGCCAAAGATGAAGACAAGAATTGAGCTCATTCAATCATGCACTATTATCATATGGGTGGCTTCTGCTTTTCATGCAGCTGTGAACTTTGGACAGTATCCTTATGCAGGTTACCTGCCTAATCGTCCAACGGTTAGTCGTAGGTTCATGCCTGAGCCAGGTACGCCGGAGTATGAAGAGCTTGAGCTTGACCCGGAATTAGCATTCTTGAAAACAATCACAGCTCAGTTCCAAACTCTCCTTGGTGTGTCATTGATAGAAGTTCTGTCGAGGCATTCGACAGAGGAAGTTTACCTTGGACAGACAGTAGACCCTGACTGGACTTTAGATGCTGAGCCATTGGCGGCATTCAAGCGATTTTCGCAGAAGCTGTTGGAGATTGAGAATAATATCATGAAAAGGAACAAGGATCCAAGTTTGAAGAACAGAAATGGGCCAGTGAAGTTGCCTTATACCCTTCTGTTTCCCAATACCTCTGATTATTCTAGGGAGGGAGGACTCACTGGAAAGGGAATCCCTAATAGTATATCCATCTAACTCTTCTCAGCTTGGTAGTATCCCCTCATTGAATTCTTGCTATTTGTTATGAATAAACTATGCAATACTAATACTTCAGATTGAAGATAGGTCTGGTGTTCGACACGACTTTGGCACACATTGTTGTCTCAATTATTTTATTTTATCAAATTATTATCAGTGGAAATGTGTCAATGTCGTGTCTAGTGTATGTGTTTGTCTTTATAAAGAATAAATTATTTGCATAGGTCTACCATGATTATTACTGTTGTATTGTTTTGTTCTTTTTATGCCAAGACTAGGCTAGAGTGTATGAGTCTTGACACCGTTACTTCAGTTTGAAGATAGGTTCGGTGTTGACACAACCTTTGTATCCAATTCACCATGTCCATGGCAACTCAAACCTCCCTCTTCACCCCACCTCTCTCCATTCCAAAACCAATGACCATATCTCTGCACCATGGAAACAACCCCCTACCTCATCTTTCACCAACCCCAAGCCTCTCAATCTCACAATTTCAAGAAACATCAGAACATCCGCAACTGAGAAAGCAGCAGAACCACCACCACCAAAGGAAGAAGCACCAGCTGGCTTCACCCCACCTGAGCTAGACCCAACCACTCCCTCCCCAATCTTCGGTGGAAGCACTGGAGGCCTTTTGCGAAAGGCCCAAGTTGAAGAATTCTACGTTATCACATGGGAATCACCAAAAGAACAAATCTTTGAAATGCCTACCGGTGGTGCAGCCATCGTGAGAGAGGGTCCGAATCTTCTCAAACTGGCAAGGAAAGAACAATGTTTGGCTCTTGGAACTAGGTTGAGGGCGAAGTACAAGATCAAATACCAATTCTATAGAGTGTTCCCAAATGGGGAGGTTCAATATTTGCACCCTAAGGATGGTGTGTACCCTGAGAAAGTGAACGCTGGTCGCCAAGGGGTTGGTCAGAACTTTAGGTCGATTGGTAAGAATGCTAGTCCTATTGACGTCAAGTTTACCGGCAAACAAGCATATGATTTGTGAGCTCAACATTATCATATTTTGATAAGAGGATGTCGGATAGAATTTTCACAAAGGGTTAAAATCTAATCAAAAACAAAAAAATTCTTTGAAGACTTTGAATTATAAGAAATCGATTACAGAAACAGTAGATCGGAAGTCGTTTCATAAAATACCAGTTTAGGGTTGTGGACGCAGTCGACCAAAAAAGATGTCTCATGAGGAATGTGTTGGGCCCATGAGTGTTAAAAAACTCAAAAGAGGACATAACTAGCAAAGCAAAGCGTTGTGAACGGAGAACGTGGGTTCGATAGCAGGAATAGAGAATGTGGATTCGATAGCAGGGATGAAGAACGTGGGTTCATGGAGAGAAGTTACAAGAGACACATGGCTCATAAAGAAGCGAAGTCCGCTTAAAAGTAGTTATTTTCATGTATTATGTATAAAGCACTTAGTGCATAGTGTAAAAGGTTTAAACTTTCACATTCCTACACGCTAGTCACTCAGAGTAACCAAGCGAACCAGCGAAATAAGTCAAGCAAGGGCAATGTATATTTAAATCAACCCATTTTCAACTATTTTGATGTTGTGTCATCTATTTTTACAATTTAAAAACGTGTTTGTTTTATTTTACAATTTCTGCTTTATTACTTTTAAGTTTGTATCGCCTTAGTTGGCGAACCCTTTTGAACACACTTTGTGAAAACACTAGAGAACTGAAGCATTGTACTGAGATTCCCTGGTCGATCTCGCCAGTAAACTTTCTGTTAAGAGATCAACGTTGTTTACCAAAATCAGAGGTAAACAAATTGGCACACCCGGTGGGACAGTGCTAATAATTTCGTATTTTGTGTGTAGTTTTATAAAGGTTCTTATATTTAGTGTGTGTATGAATTTGAGAAGTGGTAAACTTTTGTCCGAGTCTAAAATGTCACGCTCTGACACAAACACGACACATACACAGATTTCTACACAAAATGTGGATGTCATACTAGTAAGTACCACAACTCAAAGCGCGACAATTTTATCTCCCGTAAGATCGATCATTGTTCATGGTTCAGGGACAACAGTCACAATGACAGAACTTAGGCATGGGATATCACCATTTGACCCAAATCGACCACTCTTTCCAGGGGTCTAGGATCATAATTTGTCCCTTACCAATATGGTATGCCTAATTCCAGGATGGTTGAGTTACAGTCGAACCCGGTCACATATACTGAAAACACAGTGACCACTGGAAACCAAGACAAATATGTCCCAAGTGGTCAACCAGGTGGTGTTAGTTATGTCCCACAGTCGACACCATCTTTGAATACTACTTCCAATATAACTTTAAGGCAACAAATGTATGAGAGTAATTTAGAGTTAGTAAACGTCTTAACTCAACAAATAGGAGTCGCCCTCAATCATGTAGTTGGCCAAATAAGTAGATTGATTGACTCATTAGGGGTCCAACCAACTCAAATGCACCTCAAGTTGTTGAGAGTTTTTGAAGAACTAGAGGGGACAACAATGAGCTTACTTTTAGACCTTGAAGAGTGGAAGCACCCACTTATGAAGAGGAAGAATTCGTTGAACAATACAAACCTAGGCCAGTCGTAGTTAGGAGAAACCAAGATGTTGGACGAGTGCTAAGAAATGTCACTGTTGGGCGTAACAACATAGTGAATGTGGTAGAAGAAGTATTAACACGATCTGGAGTAATTGTTGGCCTCTGGAGGCCCAATTACTCTCCGCCCTTGTCTGACGTTGCAAAGTCTAGAGTTCGTTTGGCTTGTCCTTGGAACCTTCTTTCTATATTCAGAATTTCGGTTACTTTCTTTGCTTTGTTCTTCTTTTCTTCAACCAACAAAGTTTTCAGATCATCTTGTCCTTTGGCTAGAGTCAGGAACATCTGTTGAAACTGAGAATTCTACGCTTGGAGGTCTTTTACTGTCTGCTCGAGATCCATCTTACTGAAATAAACAGTAGAAAGATGAGGAGACTTGTTGTGAGAAAACCTGCTTATGTTATGATGAATGGTAAATGCATATGCAATGATTTCAAGGAAATTAGAGATTTAAATTTGCTTTAGACCAAAAAGGAACACACGTTATATTAATAAATCAAAGCTTGAGTACATCATGCCTCTTTTGGGCTTACAAAGAAATACAAAAACTCTAAGATAAAAAATTTGTACGCATCCTCTTTGGTGCGATGTAGGCGTTCAGGTTCTGCTCCTCATGAAGTTGCCTAGTGAGTTCGAAAACCTTCTTCTCGCTGGCGTAGAATTGGGCTTCGAAAGTGTCTCGCTCACCCTTAAGTTGTATCCAATCCCTTTGTAAGTCTTCAAGAGAGATAGGAATGTCAGGATGTAGGATAGTGTATGGGACATCTCCTTCCACAACAAGCTCCATAATTACCGGGAGAATGGAGGGGTAAGGCATTATAAGACTTTGAGCACGAGCTCGTACCCACTTGAGGTAAGGCTCAAGAGGGATGGAATTCTTATTCCCCAATGTCTTGCTATCTACCTTGTTCAACATCCTCCAAGCTCGTATAAATCTCTGGCGGTGACCTTGATCATCGTTCTCGTAGTCAAATATCAAACCTTGAATGAGCATCTCATGTGGACCACCCCTTCAGGCGTAACCAAACTGTCTTAAGGCTAAATATGGATTGTAGGTGATACCTCCCTGAATGCCAAGTAAGGGGACATTAGGGAATTTTCTACAACGGTCTATGATTGTAACATTCTCTATAGATCGGGAACACCAATGAATGTCTGAATGTTTGAGTGTCATCAACCTATGTGACCACCATGAACCTTGATCGTTCTTCAATACAGATTGGGGAAGATGTGAAATAAACCATCTTTCCAAAAGAGGAGTACAACACATAAGGATACCTCTTTTCCTCATAGTGCGAGTGTGAAAAGAATGTAGGATGTATCCTAGCAAAGTAGGCACCGGGTTACGAGACATGAAGACTTTGACGGTGTTCACATCTATGAGTTGGTCAGGATTTGGAAACAAAACCATCCCATTGATGATGAGAGTCACAATTTCCTCAAAAGCTTGCAAATCCAAAGAGTTCCAACAGTTTTAGGCTTTCTCAATCAAGAACTTTGCTAGGAAACCCTTGACACCACTCTTTGTTTCCCAATTAGTTGTGATATCAGATGATTGCAAGTGTAGAGCTTAAGCAATATGTTCTAGATTTGGATCTCTTTTCGTACCGTTGGAAGGTAGTTGGTTAAGAATGGGAATCCTCAAGAGTCGGGAGAATTCTTCCAAAGTTGGCACAAGTTGATAATCAGGAAATATGAAGCAATGGTGTAGAGGATCAAAGAAATGGAAGAGCACCTTCTGTTAGAACAAAGTTTGAATCTACTACCCTAAGTTTAAGTTTTGATGATAACAAAATGAAAAGATATATTAATTATGTGATTCATGTAAGAACTATTTGCTACCTAAAAATTACTTTCTGTTTTACAGAAACTCTGATGAGTATCAGCAAGAGTACATCATAATCAGCATCAGAAAATTAGATATCAACATCAGCATCAGAAGATGCTATATCAGATACCAGAATCAGAAGATCAACTTGCGCTTATGCTGAAGCTTGATGAACAGAACTGCGCTCAACACTCTGAACTCTGATAAAGACAACAACAATTCATCAGCACTTAAGCAGCGTCAGAATGAGCCAAAGCCAGAACACGCTTAAGTGGCAACGGTACTGTGCATTCAAGATGAGTTATTACCAACGGCATCATTCCAGACAAGATCTGCTTAATAAGGAAAGATTGTTATTGGCATTGAATCCGAATTATTGCTCCAACATTCACTAATTCCAATGCTATATAAACAAGTCAATGAAGATTGAATTGGCTAATGCTCTACAACACTCTACACGCCAAAAAGCTAATCATCATCTTCCTTACTCTCAGTTTGCTAAAAGCTCCAAAATTCCTTACTCAATTATTTTAGCAATCTAGTTTCCAGAAGCTTAATTTGTGTAGTATCACAGTTGTGATAAACAGTTTTGTAGAAAACATTCACACACCTAGATTTCAATTCTTTGTAAGAAAGTAATTCCTTGACAAACCGGTCTGTGGTTTGCATCAAGAAGGCTTTAGCAGTTGTTAAAGTAGATTGTAATATTCAGTTGAATATAGTGGATTAAGACCTCGTTGGAGAGAGGCGAAATCACCTTGACGGGTGGACTGGAGTAGTTTGAGATCAAACGAACCAGGATAAAAATACCGTGTTCATTGCAATTGATTTCCAGTTTTTACAATTCAACCCCCCTTCTTGTGTTTTTCACTTCTTCAATTGGCATCAGAGCGCCTGGTTCTGAGCTAAAACACTTAACCGTGTCAGTACAAGATCCAGCGTCAGAAAAACACAATGGCAGGAATTTATCAACACACCAGCAATGACAACCATGAGGACAGAGACAGATTCAGCGGCAAACCTCCAGTCTTTGATGGAGAAAATTTTGATTACTGGAAAGATAGAATTGAAAGCTTCTTTCTGGCATATGATGCTGATCTGTGGGACATGGTGACAGATAGATACACGCATCCTGTGAATGCAAGCGGTCAGAAGATTGATAGAAAAGCAATGTCTGACCAACAAAAGCGTGACTTCAAAAATCACCACAAAGCTAGAACCATCCTTCTCAGCGCCATCTCCTATGCTGAATATGAAAAGATCTCTAACAGAGACACAGCAAAGAACATGTTTGACTCACTCAGAATGACGCATGAGGGAAACATTCAGGTCAAAGAAACTAAAGCTCTTGCGCTCATTCAGAAGTATGAGGCATTCAAAATGGAAGAAAGTGAATCCATTGAAACAATGTTCTCTAGATTCCAAATTCTGGTGGCTGGTCTCAAGGTTCTGGATAAAGGATACTCTACTGTTGATCACGTCAAGAAGATCATCAGAAGCTTACCAAAGCAGTGGAGGCCAATGGTTACAGCTCTGAAGCTAGCAAAAGATCTCAACAAAATTTCTCTGGAGGAACTTATCAGC